TGCTTGATTTGAAGCCCCTAGAATTTATGTGTATAGATACGTCAAGGTATATCTCCTATGACGTAGTATATATATGACCGCGACAGTCAAGGGTTAATAGACTGTCCTGTTTACAAGTGAACTCGGAATTTGCCTCCAGCATTGTCACCACTCTGATGCACTCTGACCTTGCTGACAGCCCCAACTTTGACTCAGACTCCCTCTGACTTTATTACACCAACTTGGGCATTTTTGTTGTAGCATTCCTCATTACTTCTCTGCCTCTTGTATGCTCGTAACCTTTACACTGCCCTGCAGTGCTGTATGACCCTTGTGGGTTTAGCACTTAGTTTTGATTGTAATAGAAATTTATGTTTGATGGTGTTCACTCAAGAGTGCACATCCCTCTAAGTGTTCAACACTTGACTCGCAAAATTGTAATAATACAATATTAAATGAGTCTCAGAACAGGTGGGTCTTGAACCTAAGACAGGAAGGTTCTAACCCCCTGCTGTGACCCTGGTAGGTTTAGCACTTAGTTTTGATAATCTAACCCTCTACCCTACCTACTCCCATGGGTTCAAACTTATCAGAATGAGTAAAGTCTTGTTCAATACTACTATTCATCACTTAAGTATCTTATTGAAGCACTTGCAGGTTCTGTGATGCCAGGGAGAGGCTCTTGATTCCAGGGTTTGAACCTGTGTACTAGTCCTTTGAACCTGTTCCTCCTATCACAGGTGTGGTATGGCCCTTACAGGTTTAAAGCTTTCCCTATGGATATTTAATTTCAGGTATTTATAATTAAAAGAAAATTATAAACTGTGTTTTCTGTAACCTTTGTATTTAACCCAGATGGGTTTGTATGTAACCCAAGTGGGTTTATATTTAAACTGTACTGCTTTGGAATGTGTCTTTGTAAAGGCGAGAACGAAGTGAAGGGCTCTTGATGCAAGGAATTAGATGTGCTCTCCTTCCTTGGATCAAAGTTAATGCATGCCCCAGCTGCTGTATGATTCTCTAGGTTCATCACTTCCCTACTATAAAACCTGCTTTGTTTTGATTATAAAATCATGACCGTTACGGGTTTGAGGCGAGAATACAATGAGACTTGCTCAAAGTGAAGAGAAACTCTTCACAATGCATTTGACCATCTGTTGGGGAAAATGTGGAATAAAATATGAGCATTGTTGGGGAGGAAAAATCCCTTCAAAGGAGGTTCCTTGATGCTGGTGAGAGGCTCTTGATCTAGGGAACTGTCCCCTCAAGGAAGGTTCCTTGATATTGGTGAGGGGCTCTTGATTTAGGACCTCTTCAAGGGGGGCTCCTTGGCGTGGTGAAGAGGCTCTTGGTCTGAGGAATTAGCCCTGTCGGTCTTCTTCCTCAAACCGAACCTAATTACCCCCCATTCTCCCCTCCCCTATCCCATCCTCCCCTTTTTCCATTCCTCCTCCTCACCTATCCCTTTTGCCCTTCCTCTTTTTGGCCTTTGCGATTTCTCCCACAGGCGCGCTAGTTCCTAGGTAGGGGAAAGGACACCGGGGTCCATCCCATTCCGTTGAGGTTCTTGGCAGTGGCGTAGTTTGCCGTGGAATCTGGATTGCCTGGGGATGTCCCGATCCCTCTCCGGTATCCCGGAGTAGCTTTGGGTGTCTTTCGGGCGACGGGTGTAACTCTGGAAGCCACCTTTCGGATTCCGGGGGTGGTGGCCGAAGGAGGTATGCTTTGTGTCGGATATCCGGCCGCCCTCTCTTTTGTCCACCGAGGTAGCTCGGCACATGTGAGGCTGCTATCCCGGATTGCTGGTTTACTGGCATGAAGGTAGGGAAATGGCACGGGTCCATGCTGCATCTCGCCTACTAGCGGTGTTGAGGTCCTCTTGGGCGTGGAGGGAGATTTCCGGCCCTTTCATTCCTCCTGGGAACTATTCCTCCCCGCTCCCCCCTTTTTTTATTCTTTTTTTTTATTTTTATTTTCTTTTCTTTTTCTTTTTTTTTTCTTAAAAAAAAAAAAGCAAAGGTAACCTAACCATGGCAGCCCTAGTCCCTGAACCCACTACCCCCCGGCCCCTTCTTGATACTGCACCCCATTCTGACCCTGCCTTGTGTTAAACCACTCTTCAGACACCCCTGATGCCCCTGTACCTCTTGCTGGTGCTGTTTCCTCACCCGCTTCAGGTACCGGGGCTTCGACTGACTCCTTCGTTTTGTCTGAACTCCGCTCTTTTTTGACTATGCTTCCAGCTTCTCCCTCTATGGTATGCCAATTTTTTGAATCGCCCCCTCCCATTTCACACGCCGACCAACTCTGGTCCTCCTAAACGCCAACATCAATCTCCTGATGATGCTCCTTTCGTTACCTTCCCATTCTAACTCCGGAAAAGACGGACACGTCAAGCGTTTCCCTCTCCAACGCTCATTTCAGACCACACAATGGACTAAATTCTTTACTTTAAGACCGACTTCTTCTTCTGCCTACCTTTCTGACCATAGTATTGGGAAAGCGCTTCCTGCGTCATGTTGGTAGAGATATTTCATTTCATGCTCTCGAGAGCGGTATGCGCATCGTCACTGTCCAGAATGCTACCCAAGCTCATGATCTTTCTCTCCTTTCGAATATCGATACTACTATCACTATTGAAAAACATCTTTCTCTCAATTCTTGTAGTGGTACTGCCATTCTGCCCTATACCATAGTCCAACAGAATTTCCAGTCATGTGGCAATGACATTTTTGAACAGCTGGGACTCCAGGATCTCCCAATCCTCAAAGTAGACATATCCTTCCTGCCCAGGGGCAGAGAAGTTACCCTTGCAATGTGGCTCGTTAACTTTTGACAGCCGAGAACTCCCGTCCTCTGTATATGTCGCGGGACATTGGTTACAAGTTCGAAAGGTGATACCTACACCGCAACAATGTAGAAATTGCTGGCGTTTTGGTCACCCAGCGAAATAAATTTCAGATCTATGGCCAAATGCCCAGTCCCGTGGTGCCGACGACCATTCTAAAAACATCTTGCAGTCAACCTCCATCTTGCCTTAATTGTAAAGAAGCTCACCCTTCGTACTCCCGCCGTTGCCAGGTCTACTTAAATGAACGTGAAAAACCTTGCCTCAAAGAGGCAGAAGGTCCTCCTTATGCTATGGCAGTTACTCATCTCCGCCTCCAAGGGAGACTACCCAGTGTTTCTTATTATCGTGTTTCCAAACATCCCCCCACTTCTGGTCCCATCTTCCCGCAGCCTCCTCGTTGTTACCCTCCCATAGCCACTACGCATCTAATCCTTTTGCTGTCCTTGGCTCTGACGTCCTGACTACAATTCAGTCTTTTTCTCACATCTTCGCGTCCTTCCTCACAAGCCCCATATCGACAAGACCTCGTACGACACCTAATACCATCGCCCCTCTACCAGAAGTCCAAAAAATCCACATTGCTCAAAACTTTTTTGCCCCT